CAACTCGTTGGAAATCGGCGAGGACCCGTTGCGCCAGGGCCGAAATGTCCTCGGAGATCCCCAGGTTGGCCACGTAGGCCTTGGCCGCGTCGCCGTGTCTCACGTTGATCTCATTGGCCACTTTGGTGACGGCCTCCTCCTTGATGTCCACCAAAGCCAACTTGCATCCCTTCTTCGCCATCTGCATCGCCAGCTCCTTCCCCAACCCGTTCCCGGCCCCCGTAATCTGTTCGAAAGTCACACATGTAGATTAGAGTACATATATTGAGAGAGTATGGCCACTGGTGTTACCACCTCTGATTGGCTCAGCCATCTAAGACTGAATGGAGCCCTTAGGACCCAAAAATGGCGGACGCCATAAGTTAATGTAATGCAAAATTACTTAAAATGTAGTTTTCTTTGCTTATCGTAATGAGAAATTTACCCAAATGCACTAGTGCGACTTCTTTACATATTTTTAAGGCTAATCGTGTGCAATTTTCGAGAAAAATTATCGTAGATGCAGTAAGGTTGGCAGCAAGCGCGGTTGGTAATAACCGTCAAAAGTTGGCAATGACCCCCTTCCCATCCTCAAAAACCAAAACAAAGCACCACCATTTTTGGGTCCTAAGCCTCTCCATGGAGTCCAGTGGCCATACTCTCTTAATATAGGTATTCTAATGTAGAAGTATTGGATTTCATTTAGCTATTGGGAACTTTAATCTCTAGCTCGGTCTGGAGACAACGTATGTTCCATTTTCCCCCTATGCACATACGCGTTTTTCCGGGTGAGCCAGAAATTGTAGTTCCTAATTGCAAAATGAAGTCAGATTGGACCGAGTTTATCAGAAAGGAATCAACCCACATTTTAGAAAAAATTGATTTAAGAATGGTTTTGAGTACCACTAGCCGTATACTTTCTCCTGCCAAAAACTGAAAGTCAAAAAACAGAAGTTAGTGTGTCAAAAGAGGGGTTAAAGTTTAATTCCTACATTGAGCCTTATGCAGAAATAAAAATTCAAAGTCCATCATCTAAGTTTTAACTTAATGTGGGTTGGTTCCTTTCTGGTGAACGCGGTCCAATTCACTGTTGGTGCAATGGACAGTAAGCGATATGCATATGGGGGAACGTCCGGAAAGAACATCCGGCAATGGGTCACTTATAACATTGTGTTTTTTTATTTGATATTTTGAAAATATGCCAGGTGAGTAGATAGCGTGGTGATGTATTGCGTATTTTTGAAGCCAAAATTCCGGACAAGCTCGCTTTTAAAAAGTCCATTAAGTCTCGAAGGGATTTTAAACACGCCGGAATGGGGAAGAAGTGATGGAAATGTTGCACTGCGATTGTCAAATTGCTATCTCCTCTCATTCTCTACTGATAGAGAACTCCAATACTGAGCTTATTATTTCGTTCAATCGGGGTATTTTTCCATGTAAGGCGATAACTGCCTATAGTTAATAATTTAGAGAATTCAAAGAGAGAAGAATACAAAAAGCAGTAAAAAATCAACTTCTTTGCCTTCTACACGGGCGGAGAGTTTGAATTTTCTGATTTTAATGAAAACTATAAAATTTAATTTTACCTGAATAAGTTGATTTTGAACGTGTTTACTGTATGTATGGAATTTTGATGAAGCAACTTATCCTCAGATGCTTTAATTATTATACCCTTTACGGTAGATCACTATTCTGAAAATATGAATCATGCATAAAAAAATAAGTTACAGTTACCAAAACGACTTCATCCTTTAACGATTTCCTTCTTGAGGGCAGTATTGCCATCAGCACAGCCCAAAGAAACATGGGTATCACCGCTATCTGGAACCATATTACTTGGAACACCAACTTAATGAAATCCTTCGGCAGTCTCTGCTGGATGCCCATATTTTTCGTTGCTGTCCTCCACGCGTAAAAACTACACAGATTCAACGAGTGAGGAACATTAATGCTCGAAAAAAGAGAAAAAAAATAATGAATTTTGAAACATTAACCATAAGTAATGGTATCTCTAAGGGAAGGGTCTGTGCGATGGACAATAATTGGACAACCAAGAATACGACCTTAACTTTTTGCCCTGAATAGTATACTGCCGTGCTAAGGAAGAACACCGTATGAACATTCGAGAGTTGCCAAATTTCCTTCGATAAAATGTTTATTTTTTTAGAAAAATTATGAAGATTTCTCCTTTAAATTTTCAGACTCTTTAGTTAAAATTGGGAGGAAAATATTCATAAATTTACCAGGAAATTCGCATTTTATCGAAGGAAATTTGGCAACGCCTGAGGGTTCATCACGGCAGCATGGGCTTAGGTAGTATGAATATGATACATTTTCCCTCTAATATGTATCCCTTCCATGCCTATGATCTTGTATGTATCCGAATCATAAATTACAGTAGTGCCTTCATTTCTCGATCAAGCTATTTACATTATTCAAAATCAGTGATCAGCTTCTCGTTGGTCGGACATTTACTCAGAGTCAAAGATTTCAAGAGGCATGATGAATTCTAAATCGAAGAATTCATTCGGCGAGCAGTCTGAGTGAGGGCATTTTACAGTTGATAATGATGTGACTGTAAAATTAAATTTTTCATTTTTCTCATCTTTGAGAAGCTGAGCTTTTCCCCCTTTCCCACTGTCTCCTCTTTTTTACTAGAATTTATCTTTTTGAATTTTAGCAAGTGGGATTAAGGTTGCAACGCGATTGGATAGCCGCGCGGAAATGATTCGAGCATGGAATTTCCACGTTCAAATTACAATACGCGGGTTGAATAATCAGGGCGACAACTTTTTCTGGGTGGATTTAAAGTCGGTACTCTCGTTATGATAATTTTTTTCTAATTTTCATTTCATTCGAGAGAGACCGGACGAATCATAAATTATTTTCTCTCAAATTAAATTCTGGTTTCTGATAGACATAAGTCTCTTTCTACTTCTTTAAAAATTCCTCCGAGATTCAAGTCTATGTCACTCTCTCTTTCTTTCTTCCTGTCTATAGTCTGTTTCAATGGGCGAGGCGTGAATGATCGACCATCGATATTTCCCCATATGCAGCAGTGCTAAAGAATCGATTATTGAGGTATTCGTTGCGAACATTCTGTTTATCGATTATTTTCCATTGGTTTAAAAGGCAGATCAATCGATACGTCACAAAACACGTCATGTCACTGGTCTGTTCACCACCTTTTTTTCATCGGCTCTAGCATACGTCGATAAAAATGTTCTCCGCGTCGATGCCGAAACTCTCGGTTTCGTGGTGAGAACAGTGCTAATAAATCAAAAGACCAATCTCAGATCTCCTACAAATTTCCATTCATATTGGTTATTTCCACATGTATAATATCTCCACAGGAATTCACTGCGAAGAGGGTTGCGTCCAGACGTATCCTTTTTCTTTGGAGCCCCTCCTCCCCTCTAATCCGACCTCACTGTAAGGGATAAATAATACTCTTACCTATTCCGCCGTGAGGTAGGACTTCAGTGTTTCATTCATTCGCAAATTCCCTTCGACCAACCACGCGGAAAGGGGGTCACGTGGACGGGAGAAACTGCTCGGCGGACTAATTGTTGAAATGGTAATGTATAGCATCGCGTCCATGATATTGGACTCCATGCTCAGCTATATGATATTCGGTTGCTCATCACATCCAAGATCTTGGACTCCATGCTCACTTTAATTAGGGATAATTTTTTCGAAAAATCGAAGTGAGCATAGCGTCCAAAATTGTGGGACGCAGGTATTCTCCGACAATATAGGAGCATGAGGTGCAAAAATTTATTAAGACAATTTTGGTGAAATAAAGACGAAAAAAATGTGTTCTCGAAAAAAATTGTGCATTGCCTAGATTGGGTTAGGTAAGGTTATGTAAGGTTAGGTTAGGTTAGGTTAGGTTAGGTTAGTTTAGTTCAGGTTCGATTGGCTAAGCGAAGTATACGATTTTCTATCATGATGAACTTTAAAACTAAGGGAGGTCTACTTGCTTTTGGACTCCATGCTCAAGCAAAGAAGTGAGACGTTTAGCGATGAGCATGGAGTCCAAGATCTTCGACGAGATGAGCAGGTAAGTAAATCAAGGATGAGCATGGAGTCCAATATCTTGGACGCGGAATAACTCCCTCTATGGAGTCTCTCGTGAATTGCCATAAGTTAGTCTATTTTGTCCATTAGCATTGCAACCACCCGCTTCCACCAATAGGATCCCTCCATATCCCTGTTGTTTACTTTGTCTATATAACTTTGTCTATCAATTCCAACAATCAGCCCGCAGGAGAGCAGTTTTTGTAAAGTCTGATCGGAAAACTGGAATTAGAGTCTTGTGGTTGAATGATTTTTCTAGCGTCTCAAAAGCAAACTATGAGCGTGGTTTAGTTCATTTTGGTATTATAACAGATGGTGTAGACTTGCATTACAATCTAGAAAATTTGCGTTCAAAATGTGGCAGATAACAAATACAAATACAGTCGTATCCGAGTAATGACGTTCTCGGAAGGGAATTAAAAATAGAAACATTGTTTCCGTAAATACCTTATTTTTGGAAAAGCTGTAACGAGGAATGACTGATCGGGATTTGAAAAAATGGATGTTGTTTCCAGAGATACGTTCTGTTCAGAAACGTTGTGATTAGATACGACTGTACCCTTTTTTCTCAAAATTGCCTCTCTTGGACTGCATACCTCAAATTGTCTTTATTTTAATTTTTTGACATTTTTTTGGATACTTTAGTGCCAGCTACACACACTAAAGTTGTATCTTTACTTTAAGTTTGAATTTTTCTCCACAAGGGTCCCGCATTCCATTGACTTGAAAATTTGTCAAGTTTTTATCTTATAACATCCAGCTACAAAAAAAGCAATAGAATCGATAAACAGATGCCTCAATGCCTCATCAAGATTAAACAGAGCCTCGAATCAGATGCGAAAAAACGGAAGTGATTTCAACAAAACGTTGTCTAATACATTTGTAGCGCACGTGTATCGTACAAAGCATCAAGTCAAGGTTATCTTGAGCTATAGCCGGATTATCAGCTTGATGAATATTGTAAGCTATTTGGGGAAAGAAAGATATACTGACGGTAGGGATAGAAGCGGCTCGAATTACTTATTCAAATTGAGGCAGCATTGTACGATGCACGTTAAGAGGTGACATTAATTAGCTTGGAGGAATTTTCGAAGATTTCTTAAAATATACCTAGTATAATGTAATTCAAGATGAACGAAACTAGATTCATTTCTTGACCATCCTAGTTTATAACGTAAAGTAAATACCTGACCGAGAGTATTTTTTCGAGGTATTAAGTGCAAAATCACGAACCTTCATTTCAGTATCTCAAAATGTTTGCTCATGCTTTTCTTTTTCGCAGAGAAACAAGCCAACTTTATACCTTGAAATTTACACACTACGAAAAGTTTCTATAAATTACGTTGAGCAGTCGTCCATCGAAAAAATAAAGTTTGAAAAGAAATCTGTAACGTCATAAATGGAAATACGTGGTTTCGCACTTTGGCCGTTGTTATTTATCCCCGACATAACTGGAAGAACGATCCACTCTTTTATATTTAAGTACGGTTGTACTATAAGTTCATTAGCGTTAACCTATCCGGAAAATATATCCTTTGCTCATCTTAAATTAGCGAGCGTTATCAGCAACAGCCCTGTAAGTACTTTATAAGTGGAAACAAGCAGGAAGCTCCAACGCATTGGCGTCGGAGAGCGGCTCTGGGGGCAGTAGTTGTAGTCAAGAATGAGGTCCTAGACACATTTTGTCATTGATGTACAATCCGACAACTGTCGATTCATGTTTTGTAA